CCGGCGATATCCATGAAACTATTGGCAACCTGATAACGGATCGAATACGTGTCTCGATCGTCGGTCTTTCCGCCCAGGTCGCTATCTGCGCTGATCTGTGCTCACGAACGAATGCCGGTGATGAGTCACAATACAATATCGCGATGGACGAGGTCCATTTCCGCGAACTTTTCCTCGCAGCCACGACACCCCCTGTGACACGCACGGCGGAACAGAGCACAGCCAGCCTTCTCATGATGGGCTTCCCATCCCGAACACTTGTTCCTAACGGGACTACTAGTTACTGTGCGTGCCATAATCGGCCGTTCCGAGAGGGATATCTCTGCACCCGTTGTGGCGCTCGTGTGTGCCGCATCCCAGCTGAGTGTCCAGCTTGTGACCTCACCCTTATTCTATCAACTCACCTTGCCCGCTCATATCATCATCTCTTCCCGTTACGGAACTGGGTCGAGGTGCCCTGGACTAGAGCCAACCGCTCTGCTGCCTGCTTCTCATGCTTAGCGCCATTCCCTGAGCCACCAAAGGGCAAAGCACCCGACAAGTCTAGAGAGGACAGTGGCGCAACAAAGACAGCCAAGGGCGTCAGTGAAAGTGGGCGATATGCATGTGAAGTATGTGGACAACACTTTTGCATCGACTGTGACGTCTTTGCCCATGAGGTTGTCCATAACTGCCCGGGCTGCCAGAGTTTATTATCCAAGACAGATGCCGCTACCTCATCGGGTGAGCCGAACGGCACAGCTGCATATACCAACGGTGATGTTGTAATGACATAGAGGTTGACACTGTATGTGTCAAACAATGTGTCATTATGTGTAGCTGAAGATAAGAGAGAAAGGAGGTTTAATTCCAGGAGCGTACAAAGAAGACGCAACATTCATCTATGTCATGAATACTGTAAGTAAACATCGTACATAACGACCCAGAAGCGGTGCATTAGGAACTAAAGTTTCTGTCAAGTTTTTTTCTTTTTACATTTCAGTCTAAGTATGTTGTGGGCAAATGGCTCGTAAGCACTGGTGTGGTGTATCGCTGTCCAGTATTGTAATAATGACATGCCATCGTAAACTCGTCTCATGCTCCAACGAAATTTTGGTTCTCCTAGAATTCTTCCCATGCAATATGGGCCATGTATATGCATATGTGATGCATTTTTTATTTCCCCTCATTGATATGCCCCATCTCAGAGACATTGCATTTACAGGTTGCCACGCTCAGCTTGCTCACGCTCAATAGCCTCGAACAAGCTCTTAAAGTTACCAGCGCCGAAGCCATCGAAGTCGTTGCGCTGAATGATCTCAACGAAGACTGTGGGTCGGTCCATGAGGGGCTTGGTGAAAAGTTGAAGTAGGTAACCACCCTCATCGTAGTCGATTAGGATGTTGAGACGCTCAAGAGTCTCAAATTCTTCCTTGAGCTCCCAGTTGCGACGTTCTGTCTTGAGGCGGTGGCGCATGTCAGTGTAATATGATGGTGGAACGTCGATGAACTCGACACCACGGGCGCGTAGTGCTGAGACGGCAGTGATTATATCGGGAGTTAGAAGTGCAATATGCTGGACGCCAGGCCCAGAGTTGAAGATGACATACTCTTCAATCTGGGACTTCTTCTTGCCGAGAGCTGGCTCATTGATGGGCATCTTAACGATGTTGTTTGGTGAAGCCATGACAACGGAGCTCAGAGCTGAGAACTCGGTACAGATCTGTGAATCGTCCACAGACCAAAAACGGTGGAAGGAAAGGCACTGCTCATAGAAAGCGCAGGCCGAGTCCATCTCGTTCCAGGACTGGTTACCGACACAGTGGTCGATACGGGCTAGGGGAACATCTGGCAGAGACACAGTGGCACTGTGCTTCTTCCAGGTTCGGTAGCCAGGGAGGAAGGGTCCCGTGTAGTTTTGGCGGGAGATGAGGGTATGGGTGGTGTCACCATATGTGCAAATGATGGCTGTGGAGACGGAGCCATGCTCCTTGTCCTTGCTGACCTTGGGGTCTTGAACAGCAATAGCACCCTCCTGAACCGCCTTATGATATACTCCGTCGACGTTCTCGACCTCAAAGGCAACATCCTTCACGGCGTCGCCATGGCGTTCGAGATGAGCGTACATCTCCTTGAGAAGCTTTCGGTCCGACTTGGAGATAGGCTCATCGTCTGGGAAATGAGCTTCTGATCGCAGAGGCGAGGTGAAAACGAAGCGGACATCGTTGTTCTCAATGACATACGAGGCAAAGTATCGGCTTCCAGTCTCGAGCCCCTTATATGCGATGGGCTTGAAGCCAAAAAGATTAGTGTAATATGAGGCAGCCTGTTTGGCATTGCCAACCCACCAGGTTATGTGATCATAGCCGGTGAAGTTAGGGGGCGGCTGAACCGCAAAAGTGTTGTCTGCTTGGCCGAGGGCAGAAGCGATAGGAACAGTAGTAGGCTGAGTTGCCTGCTGAAGAGGGGAATTGGTGATGGCAGAAGGGGACATTGACACACAGACGGCTTGATGGGTGAGTCTTTGATATCAGAATAGGGTAAACGTTTGTTTGAGGCTTATGTTTTAGGGTCAAATTGTTTCCGTGTGGTGGCTTCGAGAAGCTAGGTATGCAGGAAGTTGTTAACTGACTTGAGCTGATGGCTATGAATGAAATGGGGGGCTATAGGCGAGTATATGTAAGAAATCCCAATTTGATTCAAGCCCGGCTTAACCATGAAGCAACAAGTAGGTATTGCTTGTTTCTTTGTCAATTCTCACACGGAACGCCTCCGCCTGGAGAAGGCATTACACGGCCCAAGACAGGCCCGCAAGGATAAGCAGGAGATAGCTCATACCAGTCATATCCCATCGGTAACATCCTCTTTGGCTTGAGTTCCATTGAAACTGGGAACCAATGGGGTTTGCGGCGTAAGAAAGCAAAGCCATGCCCGTCATGGCAGGGTTGAGGGTCACGCGCGGGGCTTCCGCGTCAGACGGCGGTCTGATTGATATCATCAAAAGAGCCAAGAGAGCCCAATTGATCGATCTCAAAGGCGGTAGTGCCGAAGGTTGATGATGGTGGTTGTGAGGTTATCACTGCGGAACTTCCCCGGCCGAGTGTCCCGCTGCGGCGCCAGCCGCCCCAAGCCGACATTGGCCGACTACTTCCAGAAGTCCCAACACGGCTTAACAAGCACTCTATGGCGGCATGCCCTGTGATGGACTGCGGAACTGTCGTCAGCAAAGCCGGCCGAAACATCCTTGCGAATGAAGAGAACTAGTCGCCTGAGTATCGATCATCTCCCGCTAAAGCCGAGACGCCTCTCAAGCAGGTTGGCTTATCCAGCATGCCCATATCAGGAATGATATTTAGAACCCTGAGCCAGCCCTTTTCAGCGCCATCTCTGTCACTCAGCACATCACATCAGATCCCAAACATTACAGGATCTACACCTCCAGAGGCAGTTTCCTGAGTTAGCTTCCTGAGCCTATCGTCCTCGCCGAATGTCAGAATCGCAGGTCTCAAATTGAATCACTGGGTTACCTTCATCTGCTCAGTCACTGCTCGACAACAGTCGCAATGGCATCTGTATGCTTAAGCAAACACGATATCAATATCCTCGAGAAAATCAAGGATCCGGAGTCAAATCCATATGCCGGTATCGTTCTCGACTCCTCATTACCACGGGACCCGAAAATTACAGATGCCACGACATATGAGCGAGTAGTCGAGAGGGAGCGAGACATGATTCGTTGCATCCAGAGCCTTGAAACCCAACTGAAGAGTCTTGGATCTGAAGAAGGAAAAGATGTTGCTGTCAAGGGTTATCAGCAAAGCCTTTCTGCGGTTGAGAGCATGATTGCTGAGTATCCCAACTACGCCAGCGCCAGAAACAACCGTGTACAGATCCTCAGGCGGCTTTACGGAGATGCGATGATGCTCTCCGATACCAAAGATAACTCCGCGCCCTTAATAGAGTCACCCGACGAGGCGGAAAGAAAAAAAGCTGTTGTGACAGCATTGAGCGATATCGAAACATCAATCGCGCTCCTCACTCCTTCATCACCAACCATGCCTATTTCTCCTCAGGTCGCGCGCACTCTGTCTATGGCTCACACTCAAAGAGCGGCATTATATCTGAAAACAGCCAGGCTCATGCTAAGTCGTTCTTTGGATATCGATGGGACCCTCGAAGAGTCCAAATGGGAAAGGCTCGACTTTGAGGGTGCCGCATCTCGAGACCTGGCGTTTGGTGGAAGGTATGGAAATCCAATTGCAAAGGGTTTGGCCGTGAGTGTCAACCCAACGGCCAAACTCTGCGGACAAATTGTTCGAGAAGCGATGAAGAAGGAATATGGTCCATCTTTTGGTGACTAAGTGCATGTATATAATGAGATACAATATCCAAAAAGGCTTAACATGCCATTACGATCTTGAAAGTTGGCAAAACCAGTAGTGACTCAGGTGCCAAAGCAAGCCCAGACAGTATTACGAAGACTTGGAAGAAAGCCCCATTCGTCTATGTTGTCAGTCAGTTTTTATATTATTTCCAGCTAATGATTTGCGGGATTACCGTCGTGCAGCTTCAAGGGTCTGTTGAGTTGTTCGACCTTGGTCCTTTTCTTCACGGTTGATTCTTGTTGCAGCGGCTGAAAGGCCAATCAAGACACCGAAAATTGGATCCGCAGCGCGGGAGATGATATACGTTGGCGCAGGCATCGTGATATTCCTATCTTATCAAGTATATGAACAATGGTGAGGTGAGGTGCCTTACCGTTAGTAACACCCATCTGCCGTCCATACAATTGGAGCCGCCAATGAGCTTAGGTAATACAGAATGAGTGCCTCGAAAAGTTCAGGGCAGGTCTTCTATGCACAGACCCGTCACACACGCTCCGAAAAAAGGAACCCCGTCATGTGACTAGCTGGGTCTCGCTTGCCACCAGCCCACACAAAATATTTTGGTGCGTAATTTGAACTTGTCTTGACAACTCCTCGCAACTTCACTAACCAGCAGACAACACACCGCCGGACAAGATGAAGTTCCTCAAGGTCGGCCGAGTCGCCATCATCACCCGCGGCAGATACGCCGGAAAGAAGGTACGACCTCGACAGATTTTACACTGCTATTCATGGCATTTCCCGAGTTCTGCGGCATCCGAGCAAGATAAGGTCGAGGGAAGGGATTGAAACGAAGAGGTCATTGGTGTTTTATATGACAAGACACGGAGTGCAGAACTCGCAGGAATGCTATGATGGGAAACGATCTTTACCCGTCGTTTTCTTCAAGGAAACATTTCGCTGACTCGATATGCTTCATATAGGTTGTCATCATCCAGCCCGTTGACAACGGCAACAAGCCTCACCCTTTCGGCCACGCCCTGGTTGCCGGCATTGAGCGATACCCCTCCAAGATCACCCGCCGCATGTCCAAGACTCGCCAGGAGAAGCGAAACAAGATCAAGCCTTTCATCAAGGTCATCAACTACAACCACTTGATGCCCACTCGCTACACCTTGGAGCTCGAGGGCCTCAAGGGCGCCGTCTCCAACGACACCTTCAAGGAGGTTTCCCAGCGCGAGGATGCCAAGAAGACTGTCAAGAAGGTGCTCGAGGAGCGATACACCAGCGGCAAGAACCGATGGTTCTTCACCCCTCTCAGTATGTTGTACCATCGCTGCGCCATACCACTCGAGCAGAGCTGCACCAAAACCCGCTGAGTGCTCTTGGCGTTTAAATAAATCAAAGCGTTGCTAACCATCCACCACAGAGTTTTAAAAAAAGGAATCGTTTCTCCATCACGGTTAGGGAGTTGGCGGGATGTACAGAGCATCGATGGCATTAAGGAACGCCGGTTTTTATGGGCTCAATATGAAGTTTCTTAAATCACAACCAGATCTCTACTTGCCGCGTGATTGTAGCGTCAATATACAACGCGGATCGGACGGACGTGTTGTCCCGACCGAAGGATACCACTGGCGGCGTTCAATGAACTGATACCATCAATGAGGTGTTGAATAGACCTTGAGGACTTTTTCTTGACGGTTGAACGTCTACGAGGTTTACGAAATCCATAACATGAATTAAAATTTACCGTCAAAACGTACATTACACGCACACGTACACATGCACAGAATACGGTGAAACGAAAGAAGCAAAATAGATCAATGAACTTTTGTTATGGTAGGTTTTTCTTAACCGTTTCGTTTCTACATGTCTATGGCCAAACGCCGTCTAGAGTTACACATCAATTAGACCTTTCGTGATGCGGTTCATGCATAGGACCGCTACCTCGCGCTCTGCGCCCAGCTCTATGGCTTTACACTTCATAATACCTCCTTTCCCCAATCAAACAGAATATGTCAAAAAGTCTCCAATCCACAGAAAAGTGCGCCAAGTCAATTCGACTGTGGGCACATTCGGACCAAGTCCAATAACTTGGTTGGGCGTAATAAATAAGGAAATAACGGATATAGAAAAGAGGCTCCTTAGATCGCCATTCGCCCCGTCAACTAAACGTCCGGGTCTTGCTTCACATTGAGACCGTATAATACAGAGCTCTAGACGTGCTGGGCATCGTTGATGCCGAAACGGTTGGACACCTCATTGGCCAGTCTAGTGGGATCAACCTCGGATGAGTAACCGGGAGCAAGACCACCAAAGAAGGTGAAAATGAGCAAAGCGGTAGCAATAATGATGGTGACCTTGCGGAGAATGGGCTTGCGAACACCAAACTCAGCCCACTGTCGGTTGGCATCAGCAATGTGGCCCTTGATCTGCTCGTAGCCGAGTTTGTAGTAGACCATGCCACCAAGAGCAATGGAGTAACCAAAGAATTGAAGACCAGTAACCTGGGTACCCCAGATCATCATGGAAGCAATGACCAGGAGAATATCCTTAAGAACACCGCAGAGTGTGAGCACGACAGCAGAAGTCTTGCCAATCTGATAATCTCGTTAGTATCAAGTTGCGTAGGAGTTATCAAGGGAAACATACCAGGAAGACGACGGAGACATTGAGCAAGAAAGCGCAGAGACCGTTGAGGAAGAAAGTGAACAGACCAACGTGGTAAACCTCGGCCATCGAGCACCTGGGGATTTCCCAAATCAGAGCAACCACACCGTTCATGACAGCACAGATGGGAGCAAAATAGTACAGAGAGACGAGAGGGTCCATCTTGTAGTCAGCGGAGCTCAGCAGGCGCTGGACCATGGTAAGTCGCAGAGCCTCAAAAATGATACCGCCCATCTGGAAGAGCACCCCAACAGTGACGAAGTGGATTTCGCCCATGGAAGCAATGATGACACCGACAACAATAGCGGAGACATTGAGGAACTGCTTGAGGTTGGGAGCAGAAACACCCAGAATCCAGCCAGAGATGAGAACGGCGACGGGTGTGGTAGCCTTGAGCATCTGGATGAAAGCAACAGAGAGATACAGATATGTCAAATTTCCGCAGATCAAACTCAAGCTGAAGAAAATGCCGATGGGGACAACGGCACGGACGTAAACGCGGGCTGTCATCTTAACGGTCTTGCGGCCGTCAAGGTAAGGAGTCCATCGGGCCATAACCTGAGTGATGACTGTCGCGAAGGTCAAGTGGTAGGTCGTTAGAATGACGGGGTAGCCTGGGAGTTGACATGTCAGCAGAGGAGCAGATATATCCCAATAATGTTGATAACGTACGGAAGTTGAGGGTATCGAGGAGCCATTTGTTGAACAGAATAACGGATGATGAAAAACCAATCCATGCACTACACAATGTGGTTAGCAACGGTTCTGGCGCATCGTCAAGTCACTTTCTGGGATAGTCGAGAAAACTACTGACATAACATAGAAAGTAGGGTGAACTGAAGCGCGAGCAGACTGTGACTTCTCGAGACCGGGATTAACCGTTGGAAGAACAGGAGTGGTCGCACGAGGCGTCTCGCCCGAGACGCGGATCTTTTCGTCAGCCGACATTATGATTACTCTGGTTGTTGGTGATGTAAAGGATGCGGTTGAAGATGGTTGAGGCTGTCGGCGAGAAAAGTCGTGGTTGTAGATAAGAGACCCCTTGAAGACAGATTTTAGGGGGGGCGCGCAAACGAGCGGACGGACAGCCGAGTCCTGTAATGGAATAGAATCGGAAAAGGCGAGGGGTGCTTGATATGCAATTTGGCGGGGCCCAGGAGAGACAAGGTCTCAAAGAAGAGAAAAAAAGGCGGGAAAAAAAGGTGATCTCCTTGGAGTTTGATTCAAGGTGGCCTGGTTTCGCAAGGGATGAGGTAAAGAGAAAGACTGAAGAAACAAGGCAGCAAGACAAGAAGTCGTCTCTGGTACGAGAGGTAGAAAGAGGGAGGAAATAAAAAAGGAATGAGAGGGATGGCTTGGGATGAAGAAGGGTACTTCAGTTGGTAAAAGGGGAATAGCCAATGTTGACTAGATCTCCAAATCTCATCCAGGGGGTGTGGTGTGGGCTATTATTGTTATTTTGGTTGGAGGCAAGGCAAGCTAGGAATCAATCAAGGGTGAGGCGCGGCAATCATAAAAATGTTATGGACTGGTTTTCCCCTCTGAAATTAGCCTTTTGATGCATATTAGTGGAGGAGCCACAAAGCTCAGCACAAGTGGCCGACCCTGCAGTGACTGACTGACTGACTGACTGACTGACTAGTACTAATAAGCCCTCAGCCAGTTGAACACGAACAAAGTGGATGAGGGAACGAGACAATTCTCATGCTCAGGTACTGGTACCCCCAGCCGTGTGGCACCCGAAGTCTGCAAAAGCTGATTTGACGCGTGTACAGGGGCAGAGGGGCAACTGCCCGCTGGAGGGATGCAAGGTACTATGTACAGGTACTGTAACTGGAACAGGAACTGGCTGATGTTGTTCTATTCAGGGGCATCCGCTAGATACGACCGAGCCAAGCCTGGCGAATCATCCCGCCCACGTTGGAAGATCGCCCTCCAATTGTCGTTGCCAGATAAGCTGAAGGGACTTTTCGCACTGTGCGCTTACTGCATTTCGATGCGAATCTGGACTTTGCGAAGGTGGTGAGAGTTCGAGGGAGGAATTGTGGCTGAATGGCTCAATTCTATCACTACCTGCTTTATTGTAAGTAGGTACCTAAACAAGTGACAGAAAGAACAAACGCATGCTAGATTGAGTAGTTCTGCCGTTCGATCATTACTGTTCCTTTAATAGGTAGGTAGCTGTCAGTTTCTAGAAGAGAATATATGTCTTCGAGAACTTACCGTCGACTCATTATTTACCCTCAGGTACCTCAAACTGTCAACTGTCAACGATGGAGACCTTCACACCCCGCCCCGGTTGAGCGAACCTCCAACTGCCGGAACCATCTCGAATTTGGACGTTTTCGTCTAAATACGGAGTACAGTCAGGGAAGATCTAGATCCTGTCTAGTAAAGGAAACAACCGCAAAAACAAGTAAAGTGTGGTTCACATAATACATAAGTTCCTTAAAGTTCCTTTAAAGTTCACAAGCTATTCTCTTGAGGCAATCAATTCGGTCTATTGATTCCTCGAACCGCGAGGCTTCATTCTTGCATTCCATTCCCATGACATTGACGGTCTGGCCCTCACTTACGCGGTCTATATTCGTATAATACTCGTGAACCAGAGACATACGTCACTCTAATCTTGTCTCGGTTTGCACCTTGGCCATGAGCGGCAGGTCTTCAACACACAGCATTCTTTCTTCCTTCAGCAGTACGGAATGATTCAGCTTATAACCTCCAGTACTAGAAGTAGGTTATAACTACATACAGCTAGACAGCTTCAGCAACCCACCTCGAATTATCATTGATTCATCATCGTTTACCTCCCTTTTCTTCCTTCAGAACTTCAGCTACTGGTTAAACAGACTGTGAGATATGTCAGAAGCCTAATCCTCACTGAGGAAAACTTGCCATGGCCCGAAGTAACCATTATAGTTTGCTATGTCATGTCTCCAACAAGTTAATCGGTAGATCCAGCTTGGCATTCAAACGTAACCAGAATCTCAACGCCAGCTCGTCCACACATCTGCAGATCCAGCCGAACGGCTCAGAGGTCCATCACCTTGGGCCGAAGAAACGGCCCAGTTTGCCGAACTTGGCTTTCAGTTAAGCATGCATTCTTAGGCCCAAGGACCCATTTTGATCGTGTCAGAATGCCATGGTATGTATGCATGTAGAGAATATGGAGACAGACACAGAGAGATATCAAACCGAACCGAGGATATATGCCAATCCTGGAAAACCCATAAGGGGTCCCTGTAACCATGTCGAGCTAGGGCGTGCATTGTTCAAAGCTGGCTCTTGGTGGATCTAATTCTAGAGTATTTACTAAGAACATTGCGTTCATCCTCGAGGGGGAAAAAACAATGGCAATGAGGTATTTTACGTGGCGCCCCTTGTTGGTAACAAAATCCGTACGTCGTGCGAGAGGAGGGATCTATTACCATTGTGTATACTAGTTCTCATCCACGCCACAACGAGCCAAGACCAGGCTGAAGAGGGCGGGAGCTCACCCGCAAGGCGAGCCTCGCGTTGCAAGTTACGCACGGTTGGCTCTTGATAAAACAACATGGTAGCGCCAAAACGATTCTGATGGCTGGTTGATCGGCTTCCTGTTTCAGAGTCCATACAATGCTGTCAGAGGTTATCGAACAGCCGTGCCTGGTGGAGACACTTCACAAACCGTCAGTTGATCCTATGCTATATCTGGGTCCAGTGACGTTTCTTAATCGAAGGTTACGAAGCCTTCTGCGTGGCCTTCCAGCCCTTCATCTCGTTGCTCCAGCTTGTCCATGATAGTTTCAAGGTCGGTTTACATGAGCCGATATTGTGGAAACAATAGCCGCGATCATCGCTCAACACGGAGGCAAGGGCCAAAGAAAGAAGGGAGAGGCGAAAGCTTGTTACATGCATGTAACAACTAGTGTGAACCAACTATAGGCATATGTAATTCTACTTGAACGGTTGACCGCTTCGTGCTAGCAACATTGTTTTGCTACAGACTCCATCTAAAGAGATTCGAACGCAGAAATTGCTTGGACAATCATTGGACATCCCGTATCTTATCATGATAGAGCTGAATTCATGCTACGCTGTACAGGTACTCCGTACACCCCTGGTTTATTAGGATCCCCCACTCATCCGTCCTGTAAAACACCCCTGACATTACATATTTTCATCCGTGCGTCTCAGACTGCCCGTCAGCAACAGTCAGTGACATTTTCTTGACAGTTGTTTGCAAGAAATTGTGAAGAACTTGGGTTGCACGACATACGGGTATTCTGGAACACGAGCTTGTGTGCCACTTCTAACGAGCTTCACCCAGCAGACAAGAATGATGCACATACATACAGTTGATCTGACCCGGATATAAGCATCAAGTTGTGGCTTCGTTTTAAATTTGGCGATGGTCAGAAGAGAAATTGAGATCTGGTCGTGGGCATGCTTTGGATTGGCCAGCGGCATAGAGTGACTAGGAGTGTGTTGAATTATCCAGTCAAAGACGCTCTTGATAGTGATAATCTTGTCTGCCATGGACGTTGAATTACACCTCATCTTAGGAAATTACAGCAAAAGACTCTGTGGACCTACTTTGTACAGTACCCAACAGACTATCGAATCCATCGTGTGGGATCTCTGACCAGTAAGCATGCCGTTGGCCATCATTGTCCGAAATCCTAACAAACCGCAGTAATGAAGTTGGTAACGCGTTGATTATCTTAGGAACGCAGGTTTCAAATATATCGAACCTAAGTAACGGATTAATGCAAGATCAGCTTGTGGTGCTTAGAACGCCGCTCTGATATTGGAGTTGACGGAATCTTGGCGGAGTCGAGGCGACGGGAGCCACCCCGACAGCTACTAAGAAAAGAGGCTAATTGTCCCCATTCATAGGTTGGCACAGTGTCCGTTAGTATACATAGGCCGAATAGCGTGTCGGGGGAAAGTTTCATGCAATAAAGAATATTGCGACTACTAACCCGTACTGTAGCCGGTTGTCATATTCGTATTCTATTGTTGAAAGCGGTTGGACACTGTTCAGAGCAGGCCGGTCATCGAAAGACCCTTATTAACAGTGGAGGTTGGGGCGACAAGGTTGATCTGTCTATGTGCCTGGCAATAAGATTGCCTTTCACAAGAGATCATCTCTAATCTAACAAGGTAGTTACACCACAAAGTCGGTGCTGCAAAACTGACGTTTCTATGCAGGTCCAGTATCAACACATCCATGGCCCAAGCTGGACTGAAAATAATCTCCTTTCCTTAGAGTCCCTGTCTTTATCATGACTCTGACCCTGATTGTGCTACCAACAACCCGAGAATATATCACATAGCTCATCCAATCCCATGTTAGAACCAGGCCACCCACGCCCACCCACGCCCACCCACCATCTACAGCATCAGGGGCCCGAGGGTGGGGCCCCAACTAAGGGAGGCTAGCGGCTAGGAGTGTCGAGGGGACCCAAAATAATTTTAGCCCCGCCATCGATCCGTTACCGTCTCCTTTTCTGCCAGACTCCTGAAGCCACCTCACTTTCTGCAATCGCGGTCAATATCTACAGCAACCACGAGCTTTGATCTTCTCGCTGTCTTCTTATTGCTCTGTACAACTTCTTCTCCCCTCCGTCGCTCCATTGTTGTCGGCGTCTGCATATTTCTGTGCCTTTTGCGGTCCTCTGTCCATCCTCTTCAGCTTCATCTAATACCCCCACCATGGCCGACGTGTGAGTTGCCTTTGCGCCTGTTCCCTATTGTTTAACGCCTCTCTACTCGAAAATACTTTTTATTCATGCAGAAAGACATCTTGCTGACATTTATCGTCGTTGTAGTAACGTTGATGTCCTCGTTATTGGCATGGGACCTACTGGTCTCGGTGCTGCCAAGCGTCTCAACCACATTGTATGCGCTCACCGCCACCTTCACCTTGAGGCCGAGAACCACAGGCTGACGATGTTGACAGAACGGCCCTTCATGGCTGATTGTCGATTCCTCTGACAAGGCTGGTGGTCTTGCTAGCACTGACACCACCCCCGAGGGTTTCGTAAGTCGTCATCTTCCAACTTCGACAAATATATTCCTAACCACGCGATTGTTCTAGCTCTACGACGTCGGTGGTCACGTTATTTTCTCCCACTACAAGTACTTCGACGACTGCATCGACGAGGCCCTCCCCAAGGACGATGACTGGTACACTCACCAGCGAATCTCCTACGTTCGCTACAAGGGCCTTTGGGTTCCTTACCCCTTCCAGAACAATATTTCCATGCTTCCCAAGGAGGACCAGGTCAGCTGTATCGAGGGCATCATTGATTCTGCTCTTGAGTGCCGTGTTGCCAACACCAAGCCCAAGGACTTTGATGAGTGGATTGTCCGTATGATGGGTGAGGGTATCGCCAACATCTTCATGCGACCTTACAACTACAAGGTCTGGGCCGTCCCTACCACCAAGGTACGACCACAGATTCGGTATATTGCAGTGAAGTTAGTATACTGATAATCCAACAGATGCAATGTCAGTGGCTCGGTGAGCGTGTCGCTGCCCCCGATGCTAAGCTCGTTACTAAGAACGTTATCCTCAACAAGGTTGCTGGTAACTGGGGCCCTAACGCTACTTTCCGATTCCCCGCCCGCGATGGTACCGGCGGTATCTGGATTGCCGTCGCTGAGACCATTCCCAAGGAGAACAAGCGATTCGGCAAGCAGGGAGAGGTCACAAAAATTGATGCCGAGAAGAAGATTGCCTACTTCGCCGATGGCAGCACCATCGGTTATAACAAGCTCATCAACACCATGGCCGTTGACCACCTCGCCGAGAAGCTCGGCAACCAGGAGCTTGTCGGCCTTACCAAGCAACTTTACTACTCCACTACCCATGTCATTGGTGTCGGTATCCGAGGCGAGCGCCCTGAGCGCATCGGTGACAAGTGCTGGCTGTATTTCCCCGAGGACAACTGTCCCTTCTATCGTGCCACTATCTTCTCCAACTACTCCCCCTACAACCAGCCTCAGAAGGATGCCAAGCTCCCCACGCTTTACCTGGCTAATGGTGAGAAGCCTGCGTCTTCCGAGGCTAAGGAGGGACCTTACTGGTCTATCATGCTAGAGGTTTCCCAGTCTACCATGAAACCTGTCGATGTTGAGAACCTCCTCAAGGATAGCATCCAGGGTCTCATCAACACCGAGATGATCAAGCCCGAGGATGAGATTGTCTCTACTTATCACCGTGCTTTCGACCATGGTTACCCCACCCCCACCCTCGAGCGTGAGGGCGTCCTCAAGCAGGTCCTCCCCAAGCTCGAGGCTATGGACATTCTCTCCCGTGGTCGATTCGGCAGCTGGCGATACGAGGTCGGTAACCAGGACCACTCCTTCATGCTCGGTGTTGAGGCCGTTGATGCTATCCACAGCGGTGCCGTGGAGCTGACACTCAACTACCCTGACTTTGTCAACTCTCGCCAGAACACTGAGCGACGCCTCACTCAGAACTTCATTGTGGCTCCTCCTCAGACCAACGGCACTAAGGATATTCCAAGCCACTCCAAGGCCCAGTAAATTCACAGCCGATGGAATGGATTGGAAACAGAGCTGAAGGTATAGCGTGAGCAATTTATGATTGGGCACGTTGTTTGATATCTCAAGAGACATGTGTACAAGAAAACTTTGTGGGGGCGAGTTAACGCCTCGAGAAACGATGAGTCCGAATTTAGGATTGATGACGAGACATGGGCCGCTGCTGGTGAAGATTTCCAGTCAGCTGGACGGATGGATATAGGATTCCGCTTGACAAGGCGGAGGGACATGATAGAGATAGATTTGGGATTTTTGCTCTAGGGTTAAGACAAATGAACGGATTATCCTATACAGATACATAATAGTATACAACATACAATAGAGCTTAGAAGATGTTCATGTTTCCATCGTTGATGCCATTCTGGCCATTCTGGGCCTTTTATCTGCTTTGTGGAAGGATTTACGTGTTTTAGCTCTACTGCATCAGAGCTGTTGTTTGACAGTGATGGTTCTGGGTTGATGTTTCAGTGACATTTAATTCCCTGCCACTTACATCATAGTCTGTGTGCGTTGAGCAATCTGACTAGGGGTGGATGCGAGAATGTAATTAAGATATCTCATTTTTGTTGCCCATGATGATGAAGTTACACTGAAGAAAAGTCAGTTGCTGTCAGCTTCACCTCTCTTGAAGGGAATGCGTGCCCAAAGCTACCCTACCTACGGATCAGTTTAATAAACAAGCGCGGACTTGGTTGTGCTGCCCCATAAACGGCGCCGCAAGGGTCCATCGCGCATGAGTCGATTTTGTGAAGCCCACACAACTTCTTGACTTGAACAATGAGATTCTGATACGGCAGGCCATGATTGAAGTTATGGATGGGCAATAACAGAATATTGGGATTTCGCCTTGACAGCACGAGACTGGAAAAACTTTTGTAGTTCGTTGTAAACTTTGGCCAAAACAGAAGGGATGGGCAAAATGAGGCACCGAGAGATGAGATATTCTTAGCTTGAGTTGTTATGGCTGCCTAAGGCGGGAATAGTGGCACTAGAGACGCTGTAGAGTTTCGGCTGAAACAAGAAAGTCAATGGGATCGTGGCTACTGAGACGGAGAGGGGAAATAGTGAGTGAGTGAGATGATGTTAACGGTGACTATGGTAAGAGAGCACAGTTGTTTCTGCATAATGTTTTGAAACGGGGTCAAGTCAGTATACTCGGGTAAAACTGCTGGATGATGCAATGGAAGCTGAATATGCAGGGTGGTAGGGTATGTAGGACTACCCTGAATTGAACCACAACGTGTTCTGCTTGACACTTGATGCGTCCACTTTCTTCAGCCAGAGGCAGGGTGATTACCACCAATACTGTACCGATCACCATGTACGAGGCCCAACTGTCAAACCGGATGATATCCTTGCTGTTCCGTCATCCACTACTAGTTCAAGACGGGACCAGCTCGTGAACAAGACTTGGACCCTGTATCTTTTCGCGCACACACAAAAACGTGGGTAATTCTCAGCAATTAGTTCTGAACCACTCCGTACTCGATGGATACCTAATATGACTGACTCCCCAAGATATATCCAGTCCAAGTATCGGTTGAATAAAGACTGCCTCTGCTTGGTCTAAAAAGTAACTAAGCTATAAACCTAAGGGCTCTGCTATTCTAAACAAATAACCCGACACCCCTACGGTTAAGGTAGGTACGGTACGGTAATAAGGAGTGCGTAGTTGTCTCACTCACTTGGGGGAAACCTAAGCCTGGGGAGGGGCGGGAATCCACCTCAACCTTGAAAGTCCACTCATCCCAAATCCAAACCAACTTGAACCTAAACCAACTCCATCCCACCCTGTCTGTGTTCTTTGCTCGGCGGTCACGGTACGGTACAGTAACCACCACACACTAACACAAGTCGTCCTGCATTTGACTTCACCATTTCTTCACTCAAGTGATGAGGATCAACGAATTCTTCCTCCTTACCCCAGACTCCCTACCACGACCTCGCCCACTCCGATACGTCGTATGCCTTTTAATAGCGAGCCTTCATCGTCATAGACCTCATATCACCTTCGACAGTCTTGAAATTACTTACACACTGTCCCAGAAGAGTTCCACCATAACACTCGGCCTACCAAACGTAGATCCTGCATACAATATCCCATATCCTTCCTGTCGTTGATTCAATTTTTGCAGGCCGAATCTTGCTGCGCCCGACTCTCTTTTCCACTTGTCATCCTCCGATACTGAAATAACAGTCATTACACTGCGCCATCAACGTTGAAACCACGGCCGATATATCTCCGATGATGGGCGCTTCATTTGCATGTGCCTAAGACTTTAATTGAACTGGACACCGACAATCGCTTCTCGTGGTCTTTCTGACCTGCTACCGACACCGGTTGTGATATCCACGAGGCGCGCCGTCGTTCGCGCTTCATCATGGACGGTGCTTCACTTGTTACCGACGACCTTCTTGATCCCCCGCCTCGAATATACGAGCGACTTCGTCAGATAGCTGGTTATACATGGGATGAAAGCCAGCTACCTTTCCATTCTTCATACGACTTCTGGTAAATTCTCCGCTATACTCTGCGAACCTTCCATCATCAGCCCTCGCACTATAGCTGGCTTTCACCATGTTCATCTCATTTTCTGACCACTTCTAGGCATGTAATTGGCACGCGGTGGGTGTCGTCGGTGCCTTCGCCTTCGAGCTCTCACAATGCCTCGAGCCCAGGATCCGCCCTGAGGCTACATTCCGGCCGCCCATCCCCGTCAGAACCTTACGCCCAAATATCGAATATCGACGGGTATGATACTCAAGCAATAACGCCCCCAGCCTCGTCGTCCTCCAATATACCAAGCGATGCCGCATATATCGAAGAACCAGTCGTTGCTCGTTTATCATATCACGCCCTGCGGGAGGAGCGGGCTTTTCACATAGCTAAAACCTTAATTGCCACTTCAGATCCCACAGGGGAGCACATTGTTAAACCTATCGACTTGATCAGGCTACAGCCTCTTCCTGGCGATCGCGCACAGGTTGTTGTTTCCATATACCAGCATCCTGGACCCAACTATCTACTCGAAGTCCTTGACATGGGACCAGCTTTCTACAGAGCTCGCATACAAGGAGAGACATTCAGCTCATTACGGAAGAACGAACCCGAACTGCACCCGCCGATTTCTCTACAGTATTTTCTAGACTTTGCCATAGGTGCGACTCAATGTCTGGAGCTTCTTCACCACAACCTTGGCATGATTCATGGCGAAATTCGAGGCGATGCGTTTCACTTCAATATCGAAACTGGGCAGGTCAAAGTTATGTCTTTTGGGTCCGGGATTCGCTCGTTCGAACACGGCCTGACGAGCACGGGATGGTCATCGCTTTCGAAAGAACTCGGGGCACAGAACAAACTATTATATATAAGCCCTGAGCAGACAGGACGAATGCCTGCTGAGCCGGATAGCCGGACCGACATTTACTCTTTGGGTGTTTTATTCTGGACCCTACTGACTCAGAGGCCAGTTTTCGAAGGTGATAGCCCCCTCGACATCGTACAGGGTGTTCTTGGTCGGAGGATACCGAACGTCTCTACAGTGAGGCTTGATATTCCCGACGTGGTTGGAAGGATCATACAAAGATGCACGGCTAGGAATGTCCAGGACCGTTATCACTCGGCGAGCGGGCTTCGCCATGATTTGGTCAAGGTCCAGGAGTTTCTCGGTGACGGGGATTGGTTGGCACTTAAGGAGTGGAGGATTGGAACCAAAGACGTATCATCGTTCTTCATGCTTCCAGCAATCATGATCGGCCGCCAGCAAGAGCAAGCAGAATTAGACAAGGTCATTGATCGCGTCGCAAAAAGCCATGCCATGAACTTGAAGGGAAACACGAACCGGTTCTCTGACGGTTCAACCTTGTCAAACGATATGGCCGCATTTGATGACATTTCTAGTGAGGGAGCGAGCTCTGTGGATGGTACGAACTATCGCAGCGGTTCTTTTACCCACACTGCTTCTTCTGACCCTAAGTTACCAAAGACCAACTTCAACCCCTTGTTTTCTGATACCCAGACGGTGTCTGGCGATACCATTTCATCTTCACCATCTGGGACACTTCCGAGAATTGCCAGGCCATGGGAAAGACACCAGTCAATCTCAATTGAAACACGCAGTCTTGTCGATAGCTCAGGGCCAGATTCCCAAAATCGCCATAGCGTCGTAGAGTCGACAGCGTCCAGCCTGTCAAGACAGCTGGGGTCGGCCAAGTTTAGACGGCGCGACCATTGTGAGGTTGTCACAATCGAGGGTGCAGGGGGTCTCGGAAAGAGCTGTCTTGTTCAAAGCGTTTTAGCGGATGCCAGGCGGCGAGGCTACTGTGCCACTGCGAAATTTGACACCGCAAGGAGAACAGCATTTGGACCTCTGCTTAAGCTGCTTTCGTCCCTGTTCAAGCAAGTCTGGGGTGAGAGGAACACGGAGACTCCCTTTCACCAGGGCCTCAAGCAGTTCGTTCGCCCCGTCTGGCCAATGTTGCACCGTCTTCTGGGCCTCCCGGAGTTTCTTCTCGGCCCCCCAGAAGCGTCAATTGGCCGTTCAATCTCATCGTCTCTTCAGTTCGCCTCCATCAGAGGGAATGGAAAGTCTGGGTTGAAACGACGGGGGTCATCTCCTGGAAGTTCACCCAAGCCAGTTGCCAGGAACCCCAGCGTTGCTTCACAATCATCTTCAGACTTTCTTCGAACTGGTACATCCACCAAGACAATGCGGTTGATGAACATATTCCTAGATGTACTTCGCGTGTTCACTGCACACAAGTTCATCTGCTTCTGCTTGGACGATCTTCACTTTGCCGACGATGAATCAATGGAGCTCATATCCCAAATCATCGCTTCGAGGATGAAAATGGTCATCATCATGACCTACCGAACGGAAGAAATCACATGGGATAAGATCCAAAGCATGATTCATCTCCCTGAAGGCGAAGGTATGTATTAATAGATGCTCTAGTCCTATGAATGACGACTAATTACTACCAACAGAGTATCCTCGTTCTGGTGGTCCTTTGGTCACGCGTATAACATTATCACCGTTGGCCGAAGACGACATAGTTCAATACGTGTCGACAACACTTTGTCGGCCAAAGGAAGAAGTCTTGCCTCTTGCATTGGTGTTGCAATCCAAGACGGCTGGCAATCCATTCTACATGCGAGAGATGCTGAGTGCTTGTCACCGGAAGAAGTGTATCTGGTACGATTACAGAGACAGCCAATGGCATTATGACCTTGACAGGCTTTTTGAGCAATTCCAAGGGGAAAAGGATTACGACATACTTGATACAGGCTTCATAACACACCGACTATCGGAGCTTCCTGCAGCAGCACGAACTCTTCTCGCTTGGGCTGCCCTTATCGGCAATTCATTCTCCTTTGAACTCATCTGTCATTTGATGGGGGGTGAGTTTGATTACCATGAGGATGACAAGGGATCATGTTGTGCGACGTTTACACACAAAACCTATTCACAAGGAGAGGCAATTGCTGGTCTCCAAGCAGCCATACAGGCCTACATCATTGTGCCTAGTGAGACCGACGATCGATTTCGATTTGCCCATGACCGATACATTCATGCTTCAGCAGACCTGCAAGAATGCAATTCTCGGAAGATGCATTTTATTATTGCTCAGACACTTCAAAAATACTATGGCGGCGAGAACCAACAGCTGGACAACACAGCCTCACATATTTGTGCAGCGGTTGACATCATCAAGAGACGAATTTCAAATCGTTACCAGTATCGCAAACTGTTAACGAGCTGCGCCCAAGCCGCCGCAGAGAGCGGTGCGAAGCCCACCGCTGCAAAATACTATAATACTGCTCTTACTCTGCTCCAGGACGATCCCTGGACGGATGGTGAAGAAGATGTATCTTACGACGAAACAATGCAGCTCCACCTCAGAGCAGCAGAGTGTTATCTCTACATGGGCCAATATACCGCGGCGAACGAGATTCTCAACACTATTTTCAAGAATGGGAAATCACCATTCGACAAAGCACCAGCATACGTCTTGCAGTCAAGAATATACGCCCAGAGTGGTGATTCCGCTTCTGCTCTAGTTTCACTCAAAGACTGCCTAGTCGGCCTTGGAGTCACTGTCGATGATGAGCCAAGCTTCAAAAAGTGCGACGAGAAGTTCGAGCGCCTATCAATCCAGATTCAAACGATGGGACGTGGTGAACTCCTCAACTACAAGCAGGCAGAGGATCCTAGTGTCGCACCTGTCGGAGCCGTGCTGGCCGAAACCATTAGCGCTGCTTGGTGGAGCGACGGCTTACGGTACTATCATCTCACTCTCATGATGGTCGAGATGCATCTCGAAAGGGGCGCGTATCCACAGTCTGGAATGGCATTCCTCTATCTTGCGATGATCGCATTGTCCCGGTTCAATATGACACAATTTGCGGTCGAGCTAGGCAATACGTCCCAAGAGCTGCTCTACCAATCTCGAGACCCTTTCTTTCTCGCCCGTGGTTTGATGCTCTACTCAATATGTATTGGACATGTTCACATGACGATGCCCATGATTATGGCTCAGATGGAGGATGCCGTGGAGTATGCATCAGTCGCTGGTGACAGGATATCAACCATCATGAGCTACGGCGTGTCCTCGGTTTTCAAGTTTTTCAGCGGAGAAACATGTTCAGACCTCGAAGGCTTCTGCCAATATGGCTGCGAGGAAATTCCCAACTGGTATGCTGATTCTAGAGGAGGTTCAATACTCATCGCCGTAAGGCAGCTCTGCCGGGCTCTTCAGGGCAAGACTCGCACTAGCAACGCCTTGGAAGTCATGAACGACGAGACACATAACGCGGAGAACTACAAGAAATGGCTGATCAGCTGTAGCCGTAAGAGCAACCGCTCTGTCACCTTCTATGAGAGCTTCGAGATCATACCCCTATTCCTTTACGGACATTATGAACGTGCCGTGGAAATTGGAAGCCACGCCGTTGATCAACTTAGTATGCTCTGGTCAGCGCACAACAGTAGGTTGATACTGTTGTTCCACGGCCTCGCTCATGCTGGATACCTGCTACAAAAGCTCCAACTCCCCTGCTCTCCAATTGAAGACTTCTCCTCGCAAGTCGAAGAGGTCATAAAGGAACTGCGCCGCTACGTCAAGATGATGGATGAGTGGTGCACTGTGTCTGACATTAATTACCTAAGTTGGATGAAGTTTCTGCAAGCACAGATTGAGGAATTATCTCTGAATCATGGGAATGCCATTCAGCACTATGAGCAAGCATTAGATCATGCAGCTGAGCATAATTCAGTTTTTGATGAAGCTCTTGGCAATTATCTCATGGCTGGCATGTTCATTCGACGACGTGCGCGTCGGTCAGCTCGAGCAGCACTTCTTGAAGCAGTGGGCTTATTCCGGCAGATGGGGGCTCTTGGTGTTTCAAAAGCCATCGAGGAGGAACACAGCCTCTTACTACACGGACCTACAAGAAACTACCGTACTTGCGATACTGGTGTCCAAACCGACTTTGTCGCTGATGCCACCTCAGTTCAATACAGGACTGGAGAGGCAGAGGACGGTGGAGATCTTGCACGCATCCCTTCCAACACGATGAACATGGCCGATCTCAACAAGGGCGAGCGCATAGGGGCATGGCGAGGCTCAATGAACATCCAGGCCGAGCCCGGGGCGGGACTGCCTGCTCTCGATATGATCGATCTGCACGCCATTCTTGTCTCGTCGCAGGTCATCTCCTCTATGCTGCAAGTTGACGAGCTTTTGAAGACTATGTGCGACGTCATCTTACAGACTTGTGGTGGTTCAGCTACGCTGGCTGCCATTGTTGTCCAGGAGAACGACATTAATACTTGGTGTGTAGCAGCAAGTGGTGATCCTGAGAAAGGAGCTTCCGCCCATATACCAGGTATCCCTATATCAGGAACCTCACTTATTGCAGAGAATGTTGTTCTCTACTCTACTCGCTTCCTTGAGTCAGTCTTCGTCCCAGACCTGATATCTGACGAGCGATTCGGCAATGTCAACGAGTCCTGGCTTCAGAGAAACCCTGTTGGCAAGAGTATTATTGCGATTCCGATCTGTCATGGCAACAAGCCTCTCCTTGGCGTGCTCTATTTGGAGGGTGAACCGGGCGCATTCACGGATCGCAACGTCACGGTCCTGCAGCTTCTTGTCAACCAGATTGGCATAAGCTACTCGAATGCCCTTGCGATGAAGAATGTCGAGAAAATATCTGCAGAAAACCGTTCTATGGTAGCCGTTCAGAAGCGCGCACTTGCCAAGGCCCTTGAAGCAGAGACAAAGGCCAAGAACGCGGAAGCGGAAGCCAAGCGAAATGTCAAGCTGGCAGAGGAAGCGGCGAAGGCTAAATCCATCTTCTTAGCCAATGTGTCGCACGAACTTCGCACTCCTCTCAATGGCGTAATCGGCAACTCGGAGCTTCTCCGCGACAGTGATCTGGATAAGGATCAGCTCGAGATGGCCGACTCGATTCGAGTATCCGCTGATCTGCTATTGACGGTGATCAATGACATCTTGGACTTCTCCAAGATGGAGGCAGACAAGATGAAGTTGTACATCATTGCCTTCAACCCCGAAGACATGGTCCGCGAAGTCGTCCGAGCCGTTTCATATAGCAATCGTGAGAAGACGTCCAAGAAGAATGTCAAGATCGTACAAAACATCAACCTACCGCCCATGCTAATCTACGGCGACCCTATCCGTCTACACCAGGTTCTGGGCAATCTAATTGGAAACAGTCTCAAGTTCACCGAAGATGGTTCGATCACTATTGGTGCTCGACTGGACAAGGAGACAAAGGAGCACGCCACTCTTACTTTCTGGGTTCGAGATACTGGCATCGGTATCCCTCCTCAGCAGTTAGCCAAACTGTTTCAACCCTTCAGCCAAGCGGATGCTAGCACGGCTAGAAAATACGGTGGAAGCGGTCTCGGTCTCAGCATCTGCAAGTCTCTCATTGAGACAATGATGAAGGGCAAGATTCGGCTCGAGAGTGAAGAGAATGTGGGCACAACTGCTTGGTTTACTGTCACGTTCGAGAAGGCCAAGCCTGATGTTGCTGCAGGAGACGCGCAGACCAAAACCACGCCATCTGTCGACCGATACTATGCAGCAACTTCACCTGTGGAGAGAGCGGAATCGCCAAACCCTTATCTGGACTTGTCTAAGGTACCCAAGGATGAGATTCGCATTTGTGTTGCTGAGGACAACCCGATCAACCAAAAGATCGCTATACAATACGTGCAGAGATTGGGGTATAAGGGCGTTGTTGCATACGACAACGGCCTTAAGGCTGTGGAGGGGCTCCGGCAAAAGGCCAAAGAGGGTATACCATATCACGTTGTCTTGATGGACGTCCAGATGCCGGTTCTTGACGGTTATGAGGCGACAAAGCTAATTCGGAAGGACTCTCTCGATGCAGTGCGCACTATTTTGGTCATTGCCATGACCGCTTCTGCTATTCAAGGGGATAGGGAGAAGTGCTTGGCTGCTGGTATGAATGACTATCTCGCCAAGCCAGTTAGATCAGAGATTCTGAAAAAGAAGCTCGACGCATATCTCAGCGTTGAGGTAAGGGAATCCGATATTGCTAGATAGAATCTTCACTAATATGACGCAGCACCCACCGCCAAAGCCAGAATCTTCTCCAGCGCAACACGACTCATCATCCACGCCTAGCCCCCACACGCATTCCGGAGTCGCTACTCAAAGATCTAACTCATCGCTTGTTCTCCCATCTCCTGCAGTCAAACCGAGTGTGGCAACAAAGGGATTGGCCGAGGTGTCTCTTGATCCTATGCAGGAAGAAGCGGTGTTCAACCAACCAGTTGACCAGGCGGCTCTACAAGCACAAGACAGCCCTGTTTTCAACAGAGAACTAGAGCCATCGCCACTAGCCATACGTGGCAGTTCACCTCACTCGATGAATGCCTCTGGCCTTGGTCGTGTTTCAAGTGATGATCGGTCTGTAGACACGGCGTCAATCGCAGACAGCTCAACCTCCCAGTCACAGAAGCGACTGCCTCGGAAGCTTGTCAAAAATCGCCGCAACAGCGAGTCTAACAGCGAGCGACCATCCCTTAGCAACGTATCTAACGACAAGTCGCGAGGCGTTCTCAAAAAACCGCAACGACAGAGCACGACGAATCTTGTTGAAGAGGGCCAAAAAGCAGAGAACAACTATTACAGTTCTGGAAAGGATTCTAGCAAACGCACTAGCCTGACGTCCTCTGCTTCATCGTTGAAGGAACGAATTTTTCCTCATTAGGATAATCAAGATACGTTTGCTTGACCTCGTCAAACAAAGCCTCATCAAATTTCTGGCGAGGCACGATTCTTGCAGGCTCTGAATCCTCACATAACTATCTATAGCACCTGGCCTGACCTATTTGATAGGCCTATTGTATATGGCGAAGGAGCACCAATGGATGATAGGGATTTATGGTCGTGCTCAAATATGGCAGGGACTATTGGGGATGGAACTGAATGTCTATGCGGACAATGGAAAAGACACTCTATATGGTTGGTATTCTCCCACCTCACAACCTTTATGTTATTGGGCATGATCTAAATTTTGTATAATTGTTTTTACTTCAGCGAGGAGCATTTGAGGAGGATGGGGGCTTGTATTGAGGCGCAGATGAGCGAGGACATTCGATTCTTGATCGCTAAGGGGGTAAATGCTATGTGGTGGGCTGTTTGGAGCCTCCAAGATAACTCGTTTTTGCTTTATTCTGTTCTTGTCGCGGAAATCATCGACTCAGCATAGATAGCATAGCCCACTGTTTTGGGACCCGAGCGCCAAAAAGAACAGGAGAATATGCCACAGTGCAGCTGAACTAGCTTGATGTGGCTTGAGAGTTTTAACATTACGGATTACAGAATGTTGTGAGGGTACCTGACAATAAAACTCTATGTACGCCCTGAGCTCTGAGGAACCACAATTGGGTGACAGATGCACAGTGATAGTATACAGTGCCCCTCGGGTTACCTCAAAACAAAGCTCCACGCCAGTTCGCCGAAGCTTGACACCATAAGGATTGAAGGGTGTAGTGAATTCGAGTTGAACCAAGCTTAATAATCATGGCCATAAATGGATATGATCGACATGGAGTAGAGGACAAGACGGGGGACTCACGCTAGCGGCCGTTGGCGACAAACAACGCATTGGTGTCCGAGATTAACTTAACTTAGATGAGACGAGTCTCCGACGACATCCTTTCAAGATAGGTCAGACCATACTGCCTGACTGCATGTTGTCGACGGGATGATAGCCACACATACCGTCGCAACAAGTGGCGAGGGGTGATGGGTGGAGAAGCGGAAAAGGAGTTGACGTGTAAGCTGACCAACCGATCAATTCTCGATCAATGGCAGATCCCGGCTTGTCTGGTTGGTCAAATGATGAACTTGGCTCAAGGATTCGATCTCGCGTAAATACATGCAGATGTCACTGTGGAGGGGAAGGGGTTCTCAGCTGGCAATGTGCAAGCCCACTAAGAGTTAAGCCAGTTCAGGGCCTGATTTAGGCTGCAACAGGAAGAAAAACCAGTCGTGGCAGCATTGCGGTCTTTTGTCTCTGAGAACCATGCGGCGCGCAATTTTCTCCCTCATGTTGTTTTCGTCATAGTTCAGTCCGAGCCTTCAAGCTGTTGGTACATGAAAACGAGGTCTCATGATCTAAGATCACCGTCCTTTCCAATAAAAAGTTTGAAACTCGGAACGACCAGGTATAGCAGCTGGGAGGCAAGGGAGCATACGTACCGAGAGTAGTTATGGTCCGTGGACTGACAGGAGGCTAGCAAGCCAGACTGAAGCCAACATCTAGAAACAGCATCTCGTATTTGGGTGATATCAATGGAAGAAAGATGATCGACATAGACAAAGACGCTCAGACGGGTAAATGAGATCTCTCGCCACGCAGATGAAGTCGGAGTGATTCAGTCGTGTTGCAAGTTCCGAAACGGAAGCCGGCCTTGTTAGTCAGAGCGGGTAGATTTTCGTCAATTCCGGACTACCAAACAGAGAAGGACAATCTCTGGCATCCAGTCAAGCCAGTGCAGCCTCCAGTGTCGATCCCTACACAATGGCTTGCCTTAAATCTTGGGGCTCGTGGCGCTGTGAGGTTGAGATGTGGGTTATCGAATCATTTACTTATCGACACGTACAGTAGCCTAGTGATCGACCATGGCCATTTCTTGTTTGATGCGGAAAGTTTTGTGGTCGATTAGGTACTTCATACAGGGTAGATACTCTACAGCTTGACCGCAAAGGCCAGTAGTGTAACGGTGCCTGGGTGCAAGTAGCCGGTCATCAGAAAATCTCGGAAGCCAGATAGATACACAGACAATAGCAGTGGGTTCCCGCAAAACAAAGCCGAGTTTCGTATCCTGATTTAGTTACCCGAGACCGAGTTGGTCAATCTACTCGAAGATTGCTAGTATGTGGTTATGATCACAAGGGCAGGCTTTGGACTCAGTCCTCTCAGTCAACCAACGACAAGGGGATCATTGGATTGTGTTGGGCAAAGCGGAATTGTCTGACACCTCTCCATAAGTAGCCCCTTGACTAGATAGGTAAGGCAGGGCGTTTAAAAGGATGCTCTCACTCTGGACTTGAGTTGAGTCCCCAGTCCCGTCTAGACCAGACCCGCACATGGATCGGGATAGCTTAGATCCCCCCAAAAAATTACAAGGGTGTCATCGGATTGGGCCGACCACGAGGGTGGGTGGGAAAGTCGCTTAAAGGCTAGCTGCCGATCCATCAGCTCACACGGGCAAACAAGAGCTTCCAGCTTCATAGGTGGCGGCAAATTAAACGAGCCCACCAAGATAGGTCATGTATCTGTGCCTGAGCGAGCCCTGTCGCAAATCCTGGGCCGTGACTAATCAGTAAAGGATCTGCGAAATTGAGTTGCTCGATGTGCAGTACAGAGTAGTCCGTAAGGTAAGGCACGATGAGCAGTAATCATAGAAGCCGCAGAGCAGGTAATCGTGGCCCATCGACAGACATACGCTTCGGGGGGCAAGAAAACAACGGACCTTGATATAGGGTGTCAAAATAAACTCAGTAAAAGTCATCCTAAGCTTAGGTAGGCTATATCACCTAAATCTTTTTGTCGCTTAGGATCGAGGTCCTGAGTTTTCTTTCCTCCCCTAGATACGGTACTTGTGATAAGAAAAAATGATTTGAAAGTCAATCTCATTCCTTCACTGTTAAGGAAACTCCACGATAAAGCACGTCCATGTGCGCTCTCATCAGCATCACAGACAAGTGTCTAGATGCAATTGAGCTATCTAACAAGTCCCCAGGTAAAGACGGACGTAGAAGTTGATTGAGACAGGCCCCCGTTCCAACAGCTTGCATGGTGAGGCTAGAAGCCAGTTCTTTCATGCGCAAGTGTATTATGTGAACGAGCACATCGTAACCTCGAGTCAAGTTGATAGGCGTAGGTAACGAACGAGGCCAGGATTGCAAATTGGAGATCCACGACAATACCACAAAGGGATCAGTGCATCTGTTGACGATGTACATATGTATGTATGCCCCCAAGTTGCGGCTGAGGCTCTGAACAGCTTTGCTTGATGACATGTGTAAACGGTTAGTGTGACAACTTAGTCGCTTGGTTCATTTAAACTCAGGCTCAGAGATTTGTGCAGATGATATCGGGTGCTATCATGCATCGGAGGCAACATTCATTATGTCGTTCAAACTACAGGCAGGCTAACCTAAGACAAGATTGAGACGCGCATGCGACCAGTCAAGTCGGCCTGTTTCTGTTGGGTGGAGTATGCAAAACGGAGATGATTCATCTCATCAATGCTGGTGTCTGATGTGGTTCATGGTAGGATGATGGATCCAGACTTGCAGGAGACAAGGATAATGATGCACAAGTCCAAGTGAGGTGACAAAGTGTGGAACAGGAAGCCAGGGATAGAGGGTAGATGACGAGATGAGAGTGCAGTCAAGCAAGGAAGTCGTTGAGAGAAGGGTCGTTGGACGAAATGAAAATGGGAGGAGATGCCCAGTTTGGAAAAACTTCCACCAAAACAACAAAGATGGGGGGAAAGTCGTAGAAGGAGCTGGGCAAGAACAGGGGACAGGGCGTGACATGGTGTTTCAGATGTCCATTCTCGACATGGGGTTTCCAAGCTGCAGGTGCGTCTCGGGCCCGACCGACCAACTCAATCCCTAATTGGGCAAAACATGATATGGTCCTGGGATCCCTAGTCCTTGGAACTGGGAGAGCATGCCCTGACGGATGTTCATTGGTACAAGATCTGCACGGAGCCTCACTAGGAACACACCCCTCAAGCTAGTACTAATTAATGACGAACCTTACCTGACATAGGTAGATGTTGACTCCCGGGGCAGTCCGAGGTACCTAGATCTGGAGATGTTGTGCGGGAGTCCTCCCATACATATCCGTATGCAATCTTCGCGAAAAGATGCTTGCGTAGACTCATCACCAAGGCCAATGTACATGAGTAGTACGACCAGCAAAGATGTGAGATTTTCTTTGGTGCTGACTTCTGCGAATCTGTTGGTAATTTGCGATCTAGGATAGTACTTCAAGCAGCGTCATTCCTCCGATACTATCATTTGATCTGATATCCCAATAGCGGACAGAGGGGTCAAAATAATCTAGAAGGGTAGGAATTTGACCGAGCCTTGATTCCTTGGGTTCGTGCTGATTACCTAGTTGGTAAAGCAAGACAAATTGGGCCTTGAATTTAACCTGATTCGTACTCCAGGCGTAAAGTTCGTACGACTCGTCCAATATGAGAGACACCACAGATCTCTTTGTACAACAAGGCTGTTTTGAAGCAGAGAAACCGAACGGAATGTTTGAGAGAGGATCGGATACTATTATGACGGCACCTGTGCAGAAACTTTCCACGGCTCCTAGGTACTGGATTACCTACTGGATTCCCCCCCAATCGCCAAAGCAGATGAAGAATAAACCACAACAGATGGGGTCAACATCAACGTCAGCAAAGTTTTCGTGGCTCAACTCAGAAATATCACCGATGGCAAGACTAGATTCGGGTTGGAAGCCAAATTTGTACAAATCTCGCTGCATCCACTCCAAGAATCTTGAACCTGTTCCCAGGTGAAATCGTCCCTTGCAGGTGACTCACTTCAAAGTGCTAGTTACAATTCTGCAAAGGTAAGGGATGAATTTCAGTCAGCCCTCTAGGCCCTGTATGTCTCTATGCGAAACAAACAGCATAACATAAGAGAGCGCGCTTAGAGGCAGCTATAAGA